CAAGATTGTATAATGTTCGAGATATGCTCCGGAAAATAGAAGATTATAGACAGACAGACATACTGACGACTATATATCATCCCGTCGTTATATATGTATGGGGAATAAAAATCAAGTCTAACATTTTTTCTATAAATGTAATGATGATCATCATAATAAATATGACCATCATCATGAACAACATTGTCATCTCAAAGTTTTGTTGATGTTTTTGCTCTGACAAATGCCGACAATATGTGCAGTAAAATTTCGACATTAATTGTCGCTCGCGACAATTTATGCCCGTCGACATAATGCGCCGGCGACAATATGTTGACATACCCATGTTTGATGGTGGTTACAAATGACACAAACAAGAAAAGTAAAGTTGGTGGTGTGATGATGGTGTATTTTATACGGGTATCATAGTTGTCAAACGTCAATTCATAATAACCAAATCAATTCTCATGTCATGTGTTCAACCGCCCCAGATAATGACACTACCACCTCCATACCGATCATAGTCATCAATTGTTGCCATGTCATGCCGCTCGCCACTACGTCGCCAAAACGTTTTCTGCCATCTGTGAATAGGGGGATAAAACCTTGATTTGTCTGTAAACATTGTGTAGTGCAAAGTCCGTCTCTGGTGTTGCCTAGACCACCCCAATCTTCGCCGCCTACGGTAAACTGTTATGGCCACACCCTTCAGAGGATGCTTTGTATCAGACGGAATGCATGGTCCAGAAATTAGACTTTTTGATTTGCCAAACAGTCGGGTAACTTGGAATATTGACGTCCGCTCTCTATCATACCCACAATTCGCCCTTTTGTCTGTTCACTGCGATACTCTCTTAGAGGCATTTTAAGCGTGTGCTTATCTCAATTACATTTGTGAGTGTGAGTTCTCCTATAGGCGTACACACTTTTGCTTTCGTCTGTACGTCTATCACGTGCTGTTCATGCATGCCCTGTTCGTTCTTTCATCAGACAGTTACAATATTTATTCAGGAATGTCAGCATCTTAGGTAAATATCTGTTGAATAAGAATAATCAATCAGTCCGATTTAACCCCCCTATTGAGAAAGACTTTCTTGTATTATGTATGTCTGTATCATATTTCTTTTAATATTCCAGAAAACAAAATAATTTGTTTTAAACATTTATTCACAAGCAGCAACGGATTTCGGGTAGAATATTTGGTTAGGTAGGAAGGCGCCATATTATGATTAATTTTAAAGAAAAGACAAAGTTTACGTTTTTTCTCTTGGCTCAACTAAGAGTTCCCAACCGGTTTCGTAATATAATGAATGCATTAGGGCATATTTAGTTGCAGCATCTTATTGTAATTGTTCTAATTTCTCACTTTTGCCAAAGTAATTAACATATATCATAAAGCTCAAATTAAATAAATGAGAATGCTTAGTATTTGTTTATTCCATTTTTGATATGGCTGCACATATCAGACATGATCGTATTTTGGTGATATCGTACAGTACACGATGCATTCATATATACTAGTATCAGATATGACCGTATTTAGTGATACATGAATGCATATATCGGAAGTCTTAGATAGGCATTTAGAAGTTGAGAGAACATGCATACATGAACACCTTAATGGATAGCAACTTCTTCGGTCCTTTCTACGACGTTTCAGAGTATAAAGACATAGAACGATACAAGAAAGCAAAATTAAAGGCCAAAACACAACCCTGATGCCCAAACCCTGTCATGCAGAATAACTATTTGTCATTGTAAGCAAGGGAACCCTTCAATCTCTATCACTATCTGGATAACGTATATCAACATTTCCAATGTAAGAAAGGGACCCCTTCTAACAATATCACAGTCTGGATAAAGTACATCAACATTGCCACAGTAAGCAAGGCAACCCTTCTATCTCTATCACTGTCTGCATAAAGTACATCAACAATGCCACAGTAAGCAAGGCAACCTTTCTTTCTCTATCACTGGATAAAGTACATCAATATTGCCACAGTAAGCAAGGGAACCCTTCTGCCCCTATCACTCTCTGAATGGTACATCAACATTACCACAGTAAGCAAGCGAACCCTTCTATCTCTATCACTGTCTGGATAAAGTACATCAACATTGCCACAGTAAGCAAGGCAACCCTTCTATCTCTATCACTGTCTGCATAAAGTACATCACCATTGCCACAGTAAGCAAGGCAACCCTTCTATCTCTGTCACTGTCTGGATAAAGTATATCACCATTGCCACAGTAAGCAAGGCAACCTTTCTATCTCTATCACTGTCTGGATAAAGTACATCAACAATGCCACAGTAAGCAAGGCAACCTTTATATCTCTATCACTGGATAAAGTACATCAATATTGCCAGAGTAAGCAAGGGAACCCTTCTGCCTCTATCACTCTCTGGATAAAGTACATCAACATTGCCACAGTAAGCAAGGCAACCCTTCTATCGCTATTACTGTCTGGATAAAGTACATCAACATTGCCACAGTAAGCAAGGCAACCCTTCTGCCTCTATCACTCTCTGGATAAAGTACATCAACATTACCACAGTAAGCAAGAGAACCCTTCTATCTCTATCACTGTCTGGATAAAGTACATCAACATTGCCACAGTAAGCAAGGGAACTCTTCTATCTCTATCACTGTCTGCATAAAGTACATCATCATTGCCACAGTAAGCAAGGCAACCCTTCTATCTCTGTCACTGTCTGGATAAGGTATATCACCATTGACACAGTAAGCAAAGGAACCCTTCTATCCCTATCACTGTCTGGATAAAGTACATCAACATTGTGGCTATAAAGCAACAAACAATGTATTTGATACGGGTATCATAGCTGTGTGTTTGGACGTGAAGTTTACAGTTTTTCGGGGACTCTTTTCGGCCTAGTTACGTTTTGATAACGTTTGTAATGTTTTGGTCAAGTCCAAATTTCAAATGTATTTTTTCTTTCTGCCCGACAGTTTACAGATTGTGATTCACCATTGTTTTCAATTCGTTCAGTGACTTGTGACTATAGTGTAACGTCTTGGCCATGTTATATGACGTTTGCTTCTGAGGTTTGCTACTGAACAAATCATGACATTTGTATTTCCATATCGACTTTCAAACCATCGAGGGGGCGGTCGGGTAGCCTTGTGGTTAAAGCGTTAGCTCGTCACGCCGAAGACCCGGGTTCGATTCCCGACATGGGTACAATGTGTGAAGTTCATTTCTGGTGTCCCCCGCCGTGATATTGCTGGAATATTGCTCAAACCATCGAGATGAAGTCTCGAAACAAAGCTAAACGAAACATGAAGTTGGAAGTCCCAGATTTCCCATTGTTGTCCTGGTCTTGTGTGGCGAACAGCAACCAAGTCTTGTGTGTGGAGCGTTATTCAATGTGAGAATACAGTGAGGGTGTTATATTCATTTGGTCAGTACAACTCGCAAGGTGTGTTGTTGATGACCATTCCCAGTTTGAAGCTGAAACGGAGATGACAGAAGCTACCCCACAGATACGGAAGCTACACACGTCAACCTTAGCAAACCCTCAGCCCTGAGAACGACTGCTAAACATGCAGTGAGAGGTAACTCGTCGCCTGTCCCCAAGAGGCTATCAGCTGTCAGACCCTTCATCGCCGATACCAGGTAGACAAGATACCCGGTAGACAAGTACAGGTTACCACGCTCTGTTATGTGCGTGCGTGAGTACGTACGTATGTGTGTGTGTGTGCGCGCGTGCGTGCGTGCGTGTGTGTGTGTATGTGCGTGTGTGTGTGCGTGTGTGCGTCTGTCCTAACTGATTTGGGCATGGACATGGGTACGCGACAAAGCAAAACCCCATTCGTCTAAATCGGCACGTTGCGTGTGCGGAGTCGTTCTCGAAGAACGAGGACCCGCCGGAACAATGGACACAACGCATTCAAGTGGTAGAAACATCCAATCCACATACAGTCACAGTCCGATCACCGTCAACTTGCACAGTATCTGGCTATATCATGCATTAAGCAAGGTCATAACGTGTTAGCTGTGTCCGATTGAGAGTTGGTTACAAATCCATTTGAGGCGAATGAGCATTCTAACATGGTCGAGACAAATATTAATATAGATAATCCAATTGTTTGATAGTCATTACTTAGATGTTGACGGATGACAAAGTAGACACAATGTATGGATAACAACTTCTTTAATTACTGTGAAGGCGACGTTTCGGTATAGACCCTAATGCCATTAAAATAGGTTGTATCAAACTTTTAATGACACCATCTGTCCATTAACATAATGGAGGCTAAATATGTTTCATTTATCATAGGCACTTCATAAAATGCAGGAAAAAATTGTGTTTTCACTGAAACCACCAAAACAGGTGTGGTCAAAATTGATGCATTTGGCAATCATTACTTACCAAACTTTCGAGTCGGGAGAACGGCTGCTACTCAAGCTTCTTCCAGAGCTGGCATTGTAGGAAGTGATACGGGAATACCCTACTTAAACACTAGTTAAAGTAACATTAGTTAATGATAGTTTAATGACCTTTTTTTAGTTATTAAATATAGACTGAAATGCGCCGTGACGTATGAAGATCCTCAAAACACCGAGCTCACGAACACCCATACATAATGTAATGTTTAATGCAGCCAAGCGTTTACATGCATCTATTTTAAGACACGTACATACATGGTGAATATACGGAATTAACGATAATTATAAATACAAGGAAACATCTACCAACATTAGTGCATACAGTATCAACTGTATACAAAGGGAAACACACACACAGGTTCAGCGAAAGTTGGTTTTGGTTTACGGTTTTTTGATAGATTTGGTTGGTGGTTCGTTGTTTTACGCCGCGCTCAGCAATATTCCAGCTATATGGCGGCGGTCCGTAAATAATCGAATCTGGACCAGACAATCTAGTGACTGATATCATGATCATCGATCCACGCAATTGAGATCGATGACATGCTTCAACCATGTCAGTGAGCCTGACCACCCGATCCCGTTAGTCGCCTTTAACGGCAAGCATTGGCTGTTGAAGACCTATTCTACCCCGTATCTTCACGAGTCGTTTTTGATAGAGATAAATAAGGTTGGTAGGTAAAAAAGGCATTGTACAGGATTTGTTTTTCATCCGTAAATTTGATTTGGATCGGATGGTATTAAAAACAGTTTGCCTGGTTTGGGTCCATACAAATGAAATGTAATGACAATTTATCTCTGGATTTGTTTGATGTTTAGTCCAAGGCAACAACAAGGAACATGAGTTGTAGGCCATCTCTGTGAGACCTAAATCAGAACTCAATCGTACACGAACAGTCTAAGGTAGTAAATATGATAACCAAAAGTGAGTATTCGGTACGAAGATGTGCAATCCACGTGGCAATCAGAATATATTAAGGAAGTGAGACCGCGAGATTATATAAAACAGCACCGAGGATCAGTTATTTCTTGTATCTAAATCAGAATCTTTGTAAATTAAATCAGAATCTTTACCCACTATCTAGGTCAGTTTCCTCAATGGGGCAATTTTCTAGGGGCAGTTTCCTCAATGTGTCATTTGTCTAGGAGCGCTTTCCTCAATGTGGCAATTTTCTAGGGGCAGTTTCCTCAATGTGGCAATTGTCTGGGGGCAGTTTCCTCAATGTGTCAATTGTCTGGGGGCAGTTTCCTAAATGTGTCAATTGTCTGGGGGCAGTTTCCTCAATGTGTCAATTGTCTAGGGGCAGTTTCCTCAATGTGTCAATTGTCTGGGGGCAGTTTCCTAAATGTGTCAATTGTCTAAGGGCAGTTTCCTCAATGTGTCAATTGTATGGGGGCAGTTTCCTAAATGTGGCAATTGTCTGGGGGCAGTTTCCTAAATGTGTCAATTGTCTGGGGGCAGTTTCCTCAATGTGTCAATTGTCTGGGGGCAGTTTCCTCAATGTGTCAATTGTCTGGGGGCAGTTTCCTCAATGTGGCAATTGTCTGGGGGCAGTTTCCTAAATGTGTCAATTGTCTAGGGGCAGTTTCCTCAATGTGTCAATTGTCTAGGGGCAGTTTCCTGAATGCGTCAATTGTCTGGGGGCAGTTTCCTAAATGTGTCAATTGTCTGGGGGCAGTTTACTAAATGTGTCAATTGTCTGGGGGCAGTTTCCTCAATGTGTCAATTGTCTGGGGGCAGTTTCCTAAATGTGGCAATTATCTAAGGGCAGTTTCCTCAATGTGTCAATTGTCTGGGGGCAGTTTCCTCAATGTGTCAATTGTCTGGGGGCAGTTTCCTCAATGTGGCAATTGTCTCGGGGCAGTTTCCTAAATGTGTCAATTGTCTGGGGGCAGTTTCCTCAATGTGTCAATTGTCTGGGGGCAGTTTCCTCAATGTGTCAATTGTCTGGGGGCAGTTTCCTCAATGTGGCAATTGTCTGGGGGCAGTTTCCTCAATGTGTCAATTGTCTGGGGGCAGTTTCCTGGAGGCAGTTGCCCTGATACCGAGATTCAGGTCTTCAGTGTTTGTAATCAGTGCACGACACCAGGACAAACACAAGGAAGCAGTGATCTGTAGAAATGGTTAAGGCCCACAAGGCAACTCTGCTTATTCGGGAACCAGTAGCACTTGACGGTTTTTAATATGGTAACCAGAGCACATAGCAACAAGCATCAGCACCTATTCAAACCACTCTTGGAAGAAATGTGGTCTGCCTTTATACTATTTCAAGGACCAGAAGAACTAACGGTACCAAATAGTGTAACCTTGAACCCAATCAAGGAAACAAGGAGACATAGGGAGGAGGGTGGTCCACCTGCTCGGAAACAGGGGATTTACAAGGGGATGGTGGAGAGATGAGGATGTGTACATTCTGTTTGTTATTATTGGGTACTATTTTAGATTTAGTGCTAATTGGGAGAGAATTGGAAGAAGTCAGTGATTGTGTTTTAAAGTCGCAAGAGGCGATATTGTCTGTTGACAACACAGTTATGCTATTAGACATGGTCTCCGATATGAATGTATCATGGGTACTGTTACTTCTTGGGATGCGTCTCATGCGTAATGGCCGGTGTCTTCGCCGGCGAAACACAGTGTTGAAGGTGGTGTATCGAAACCTCTTTTCTTTCACGAATACACAGATGGTGCAGAGAACGCCAGCTCCAGCTATGGACATAATACCGATCATGATCTTATAACTCACATGTAGAGGAACGTCTGAAACAGAAGAGTGAGTGACTTACACTATTTCAGTTATATCACAGCGTATTATAGCATCGATTAGTCAAGATATTGGTCATATTGATATATTTGTCTCCTAGTTTAAGCAAAGACTATGTGACAACCTTCAACAAGAATGTCACGAATCAGTTAATGCTTTAAACAACCTACTACAAACAATTTTAATCTCTGTAAAACGTTGACAGTTATTTGTGCATTCACTTCCCGCCAAGAACACATCTGCGATTCTGTTTGCCCGGTGTAATATTTTTTAAATTGCAGTTGAAACTGGTAGATTTGAAAATGTGTAAAGAGAGTTATGATTTTTTTAAGTTTTGTGGAAAAGAAAATCTTTTATGAGGAAGATGAATATCACACGTGCAAGGTGAGGATGCTGACAAAGTCCATGCGAAATTTTGTTTGTACATGTATTAATGTCAACATTAACACTATTGGTAATAGAAATAATGTATTTATGGCCTTGACTTGTGGTTATTTAAATAACGATAATGATTAGTAGCATTTATCTTCCAAAATTTGATTCCACAGGGGATATCGCTTCAATGAAATTGTATCACAATGCTTTGTAGGCCATTTCGTCACAATGTTGCCATGGCGTCACAATCAAATGACACCACTAATCTCTCTGCTACTTACAAAATGAACGAGTTAGAAGAATGATTTTTGGATTATGAATAGATAAAAGAAATGATAACAACAATACTCGCTATAAAGTTTAAAACTCCTCCGCAAACAAGTTTTATCGACTCTTATTTATATTTTTATATCAAAAGACTCTCGGGTCAGATTGTCTATGTCAAAACAACAACCTTCTTATTGACTTATATAAGATTTACACTTAACGATATTGTGAACAACTCAGACAACAATAGGACCGAGCGACACGAAACACGAAACAGATCATACCGTGTTGTTGGTTGAGTGCTTTCTTGTTATTGACATCTAATTTACATAAACAGTATACATATACATGTAGTTAAAGCTTGAAATCTTTGATAGTTATAGCTTATTTCAGAATTGTTTCTTGAGCAATATTTAAATTTGATCTTATTTTCTCTCCTGTAAGTTTCCTTTTCTCCTTGTTGTTTCTAAAAGTGATAAGTGTGTTAATAAGTTATTTCTTTATAATTATACTTTAGGAGAAAACTTAATTCAAGTTATCATACTGCACTAGTGTAACTATTTCAGCTTTTATTCATTTGTTTTTAATCGTTTTCTGTACGTAACAACTTCAAACAGAGGTGTAACCATATGTTCCGTGATCTTCAAGGTGAACAAGTGACTTGCCCTTGCATGTGTTTGTTCCAAGTGCCACCAATGGGGAAGAAGACACTCACCTTTCTACGAACATTTGGTGTCATCACTCTTTGATATGATTCACACATAAACACATGTTTGCGATATAATGGGAATACAATCGTGGACTGCGTATGATTATGAAAATGTGTTTTGTAGCTTTTATTTATTATTCTAATAATATATAAAAGTATCTCCAGTTAATAAAAACTAGCTCAGAGTGTTTTGATCCGTTTTAGAATATGGCTCCCATTGCAGCCATGTTTGGCAACTCATATTTAACCATATGGCAACTATTTCAACAGATAGTGTGACATTTGCTGTAAGGGTTGCACTATCTAATTATATGTGATTTTTGGTTTCGCCCAGAAATTCACCTTATATTCTTTAAAAAAACAGCTTATACATTTTCATTGATTGTATGAATGATTAATTAAAGAAGAAATATTTTGCGAATATTTAGAACATATGGATAAACATTTTAGTCATTTATTCGAAATCTATATTTGATATGCGTGCCAATTTTGTAGAAAGGGCTTCATCGGATATCTGAGTGCCATATAGTATCGCTAAACATATATACATGTACATATCTGTGAATCCTTAATCATAGACTGTGACCACCGAAGTGACCATTGTATTTTGACCATGCACAGAGTCACACTTCCACAAACTACAATAAATGCGACAAAATCATAATTTCAATAATGATAAGAAATCTCTGCTTAAAACAGGGTCCACTGTACCATATGGACCTATGATATGCATGTGTTTATGAATCAATAGTGATGATACCAGGTGTTCGCGAAAATGTGAGTGTATCCTGCCCCACCGGTGGCACTCGTCACACATGCAAAGGCAAGTCAATTGTTCACCTGACTAAACATAACCTATGGTATAAGTTAAACTGGGATATTGCATCAGACATAGTTTATGTCACTGCGTTAAATGTTGAAATGTCCTCCATTAATATATGCATTAGCTTGATAAAACATGTCTTAGTCACCAATAAGAAGTGTTGTCTGTCTTCATTCATGATCTGATATTGTTGCAGCATAATCTGCCTGCTGTATGATACTCATTGATATGATGAATATAGTTTCGCCCGTGATACCTGAATCAAGTGAATAACCATCGGAAGACTCTTTCTTTTTTGTTTAATTTTGGGCCACCATTTATTAAACATGTTGTATACTTTCTTTTGCCCTACAGTATACGTGATTCACAGAACAAAGGTCTTGGAAATTGGCATTTAGAGGGGTTTCCACTATTCTGTAATGCATGAAGAGGTTGGTAATTTATCAGAATTTAATTATATTTCCATGTTAAATTTTAACTCCTTGCATATGTTGTATCTTTAAAGAGTTGTATTTTAAGTCTGGCGTTAAACAACAAATATAATGGATCTATTACACATTGATACCATGCTGTATACATCTTTGAATCATTCGAAAAATTCACACCTTTGATGTAAAAACAGCGTGAAGGTAGTTTTGATGTTTATAGCAAGTCAATGTTAATGTATCCTGGTACACGAGGAAATCAAATTCTCTAAAACGGTTTTTTCAACAAAACGAACTTACTTTCTTTGCCAGCGAGGAAGTACGGGGTAGTTGGTGCACTGTATTGGTCTATACATGTCCCTCTCCACTGATCACAACCATGCTCGCACTGTCTGCAGTCCTTGTCACACGTGTAGCCGTACAAGCCTTTCACACACCCTTCTGCACACAGCTCGAACAGACACACCGAGTTGTTGCACTGAGGGCTGCAGGTAGTGCAGTTTACGCCATAGTACCCCGCCAAACAACTCACGCAGCTGCCGTCCGAACTGCAAGCCAGGCAGTGCACAGAACACTCTGCAACTCAAGGTGAAACGAACGACGTATGTGGTGAATTCAGTCAGTAAGTAAGGTTTTACACCCCATTTAGCAATACATATGTATTCCCGCAGGGGGAAGGGGAGGGACACAAAAAGTGGGCTTCATCGATTGTACCCATTGTACCAGATCGAATCCGGGCTACTATCGAACTCATTATCTTAAGCTACCCCTTCGCCCTTTAATCAAGTAAATCAAATTTATTGATCCAGGCACACCAACAATATATATATATATATATATATATATATATATATATATATATATATATATATATATATATATATATATATATATATATATACAAATGAGGTTAATGTTCACTCGGTGTACATGTAATATATAATAAAATAATAAAGTCCACGTTAGTCCATCATCTTCTTTATATCAGTTTCATACATATAACTTAACATGCCAAATCTAACGTGTAATAAAATATTCCAAAAGCAAAACTTTGAACGCAATATAGTAATACGGTGATGGGTTTATAAATAACCTTAAATAATACAGTTACTTCTATATATCGAGCCCCCTGAAGAGCCGAGTTAGAATAGGTCTTGAGCAACCAATGTTTGTCGTAAAAGGCGACTAACGGGATCGGATGGACAGGCTCGCTGACTTGGTTGATGCATGTGTATATCGATGTTGTGATGCCAGTCACTGGATTGTCTGGTCCAGACTGGATTATTTACAGACCGCCCTCATATAGATGAGTGTAGCGTTAAAAAACAAACAAATTCAAAACAGTATACCGAGTTAAATCATTCGGGTTAACAACGCTTTCTGTATTTCTTAGTAATCATTTTTGCTAAACGTAACTCGTATTAGGAAGCTGCTATACACGTAGCAAGTGTAGTATCATACCACGGGAGATGGTGATGTAGACCTGGGTTAGCACTACCAGGCTACAAGACACTGAGACAGTCCATGGTGCCATGTTTGAAGTCCTGCATAGATGAGTTTAACTCCTGCCAACAGCTGAGGTCGTGGTCTTGTACTAGGTCAATGAGAATATGTCATCATATTTGAGTCAATCAATCAATCATTTTTCATGATGCTGATGAGGCCAAAGGCCTACAGGACATTGTATTCATGGGTGTGGTACAAAGTCGTGCTCATTCTTAGTTCCACAGCATTGTGCAATTAGTGGCTGAGTCCTAATAAAGAGCATACGTTGCATAAGGATGGTACGGTCTAATGGTGCTTATATGGTGGCATAATTTTATTTTTTTTTAAACAAATTTCTGGTATTTTTCTCGTAATGTCGATTACTTTCTAAGAAAGTAATGAGCAAAAAATCTAAATAATTCAAATTGCGAGAAAACGATCAACTACGAGAAAAGACTCAAAATGTCGAAAGAAAAATTAGGATTGAAATATGCAGAAAAATATTTGAAATTTTGTTCCCAAAAAATTAAACTATGCTACCAAAGTGACACAATTAGATTTTCATAGGAACGTGTATTGTACACGACGAAAATAACAGTTTCGAGGATGTCCAGACCCATAAACCTCAACTTCAGCCGCATTGCCATGGAAACGCATAATAGTTTCGAGCAAGTTATATATTCCACGTTCCCTCAGGTAATTAGCTGGTGATGACAAAATATGTGTGAAGCTGCCAGATAATTGGGACTCACATTACTGCATCGCCCTACTCACTGCTGGACACACGGGAGGGCATGTCACACTACCCCAATTGCCGGAGACGTTTCCTCCGTGTGCCAGTGACGTACAGAGCCCATAAGCAATAGGCTAAGAAAGGTGAACCCCGTCATGTGTTTTGACCATCAATATCATGGCGTAGACATTCACCATTAAGTGCAAATAAATAAAAGCGACACACCTTTTCCATACCCATAGCAATCTCTACAAAAAGTAGAGTCAGTGGTACGATTCCGACTACATCATAAGCATGTGTTTAGGAATCGCTATCAATAGTGATGATACCAGGTGTTCAAGAAAAAGTGAGTACCCACGACAATGAGTATTCTGCTGAGAGACCAAGGGTTCGAGGCAAATCTGGGATCTGGGACGCTACTAATCACATGAAGGTAGAGCGTATAACGGTTTCCAAACTGATGTAAAGATACGTACCTTGATACCTGGACTACAAGCCACTGAGTTGTTCACTCACACCGGATTAATGTGTATATCTGTTCATGCGAATCGCGGGAGTTAATGTTTATTCACGTCTACCATTACTTGCCATTATTCCCAAAGCAGATTACTTGTATGCCACAGAATTTACCATACACTGTTTGATTGTAGATTGTTTGTGGCGTCTGTGTGCGGGTGTTGGGATTGGCTATCGATTTCCACCAGGTTGTGATTGCTGCATTGAAAGGTCTATAAATCTGTGTTTCTGGTTGTGCAAACTCTGATTGAATAAGCATACGACCATTAAGCATGAATACACGAGCGACAGTTATTAATCTCATCCATTTGAAACGGTGAAGAATTGTTGCCGTCACTACTATAGGTTGTTCACTGACATTACCTTCAATTTTAGCATTGATTTAAGCTGAATATATATGTTTTGGTCTTCTGCGCGTAATGGAAAGCCTTCAGTGTTTTTAATGAGAGAAGGCATCAATGAAGCTTTGAATTCTGATCCTGTTGACTAATGACAATGAGCACAGCTGCGTCACGTACAGTGGCTAATGGGTGGGAGGGGGTTGGGCGTGTGTGTGTGTGTGTTGGGGGGGGGGGGCGAAGCGCCCTGATCGTGAACCTTGACTAGAATACCTCTTTGGTGGTAGTGCCGTTAACTGACATCGACCATAAACTCGCTCTCATAGAGATGATGTCACATTTGCTGTAATGACAACACTGTCTGCTCGGAGATCGGAAGGTCGGGGTTCGATCCACGGCCGACCCATACCAAATGACGTTTAAACATGGTACTCGTTGTTACCCAACCTGGAGCCCAGCAGTAACTGAATAAAGCAAGGACTTGTCTGCTCGGAGTCCGTATCCTCTTAGTGATTAGTCTTTGTGGTGCATTCATGTTTAAACTGCAGTTTGGTATCTCAGAGGGTTAACACTATAAAAGCGGTATAAGTCGGGACTAGTACAAGCAGACACACACACAAGCGCACACGTCCACATCAGTACCTTAACCTTGAACGCGACGTTAAACCGTCAGTGTACTAGCTCGGAGTATTACAGCTAGCATACCCCGCCGTGATATTGCTGGAATAGTGCTAAAAGCGGCGTAAAATCCAACGCAGTCACTCGCTCGCATATCTGCAACACGAAATACACACAATCCAAACAAAACGGGTCCTTAACAGATTACAGGGCAGAATACTGTCAGAGTCCACACACTTACTGAGTGTCAACACGTCCCGAATACTGCGTTGATGCTCATGCTGTCAACCGATTGTCTGTCTGGTCCAAACCTGATTATGAACAAGCCTCTGTGACAGCTTAAAACTTGCTAATTTCTGTGAAAATAACAGTTTCTGTCATCTGAAGTTTACTGAGAAAACACCATGTGAAATGCTGGTCTTCTCTTCCATAATCATAAGAAATGTCTGTCCAATGTGGAGTCCACTGTACGATTTTGCACACATCATAAGCATTGTTTTAATGAATCAATATCAAATTGTGATGACACCAGGTGTTCGCGAAAAGGTGAGCCTATTCTGTTCCGCCAGCGACACCCGTCACAAACATTTGAAAGAGCATTTGTTCACCTGAACAAACACTTTAACAAATGGTATAAGTATGTTTGAAGTTGTTACAAAATCGATTCTATACAAATGAAAAAGCTGAAATAGTTACCATCACACCAGTATTATATTCAAACGCGAGTTACGTTTACTCCTAAAGCACAGTCGGAAATAACTAAATGAAATACAATAACTTATGCAAAATGTGTACATATCCTGTCCCACCGGTGGCCCCCGTCATGGACAGATGCAAGGGCAAACCATTCACTCCCTCACTACAGACCATTGTTCACCTATCTTCAATATGCCCTTAATTGCATTGTACGCGCACTCAGTGGCACCGTGCCTTCATGCATAAATGATCAGCACTACTTTGACAATGCAAATACGCCGAGCTTAACACCAATGTGCATTATATTACAAGTGTGACAATGACAAGCAGCACAGACATGTTATCCACAAATGCATATTGAAAATTCGATCAACCATTCGACCTGAATAATGCATTCGCGATCGATGGCACATTGAACCACTTTACTCAAGGAAATTGAAACTAATTGTAATCTTGTCAGTTGTCTGGTAGATACATCAACTAATCCTTGTACAGTCACATTTATTTTTGCAAACCCTTAATTGATACTAGACATGCCTGCAACAAGTATGGGCGTGTCATGTTATGTGAGTGAGTGAGTTAAGTTTAACGCCGCTTTTAACAGTATTTCAGTTATATCACGGCGTGTCAGCTTAATGTGGGAGGAAAGCCCGAAATGATGCAGGTCTCAGACGTTTACCACTTCAGTGAAACCCACGAGCACGGGTATGGTGCTGACAAACCTAGGACCATAATCGGGTCGAACCGGGATTCGAACCCAGAATCATAGGTTTCTGGCGTGCCCAAGGGACGCAACTCTGCACAGCGTATGGCCGCGCCTTAGACGACTGGGCCACCCGTGCCCCCGCCATGTTATATAGTGGGAAGGACTGGTTCTATCGTAACACTGAGGACAGGCATATGCCTCTTTGGAACACTCAAGTACTGTTTTAACGCAAGGATGTGTGTACTTGACGCACACTAATATAACATCATGTCGATGGCAAATAAGAATTCATTAAAGCACTTAATTTTAACTTATTCCCTGTTAAATAAGAAGTTCTTGGAAACCTGGTGAGCAAGAGGTTCGGTACGAAATAAGTTTTACAAGAGTTGATATCTCAGTTTAAAGAGAGAAATTTGCATTGTAAAGCACCTTAAAATTTATGGACAGGCTTCTTTACGGTAAACTGATTGTTAATCTTATGTTCGGCAGAACATGTTTTCTCTTTTCGCAAACACCAGATGCTATCTCTGATTTTCAGTGAATCCGTTCATAATATTCTTAATATTCACAGACCGTGTTTTTAGAAAAGTAGATTTTCAAAAACTCAAAGACTTTGCAAAAAAATTGACAGAAAAGAATCAAGTTCAATTGAGTTTAAATATTTGGTTTGTCAACTCTGTACACCACTATCCCACAGGACAAATTTTGGTTAAGTAATTCCTTGATCCATGGTACATTTGTCATTAATCGCGGTGATTAAAGATATACCTCTATCTTCAGAGGTTCAGGACAATTTGTGACTAAAATTTTTTTTAAACATCTGTCATCTAAAGTTTGCTGAGAAAACAATATATGAAATGAAATCCTCACAGATACCAGCTATATGAAATTTGGGTATAGGACATTTAGGAAAGAATGAATATGAATCGGTATTTCTGATCGCATTGGCAAAATCAAAACACGGGACTTTGGCCAAGTAGTGTAACTAAAACATCAGGAATATTGAAGATCTGATATCATTTAATATTGGTCAAATAGCCCATTCCCTTCCACTGACTTACACACCTGAAGTACCAATAGAAGATAACATTGAAACCGCCTCATCTATTTCATGTTTAAATTCCATATTTAGCATCACGATTCAGAGTGACAACAGATAACCGCAAGACTTCATATCCAATGACTTCAACTTTTCCAGCCTTTGATGTCAAGTTTTGAGGTACCATCGGGCATGGTCTTTCTACAAAGATTTCAAAGATCGGCATACGTATACGACTCTTGCTAAAAAGTTGTTGTTACAAGGCCTAAGTAAAGCTTTCAAAAAGTCTGCTTGTTGACATTTGACATGTGAAGGACATTTCCAAATTTGACGCATCAGTGACAAAAAATGGTGTCTGATGCAATTCCCTATGTCGAGCAGTATTTCAGCAGCAACAGCCTTTGGTGTCTACCTTTCACTTTGAAGGTGCAATCCAGCATGTTCTTTCTACGAATATTTCACAACATAAACACATGCTTATGATACAGTCGGGATCGTACAGTGGACTCAATGGATGCAACGTGCAAGGAAACTGACTCTGAATAATATGTAGGGGACACGGGTAGCCGAGTCGTCTAAGGCGCCGCGATTCGCTGTGCAGGGTATGTTTTAATTATTAATTTGTGATGAATTTACATGTTTCACGTTAACATGAAATACTTAATGTTTAGTCTTGTGCACGTCCGAACAGGATCAGAACCTCGTATTGAATGTGGGGGCACGGGTGGCCCTGTCGTCTAAGGCGCCGCGATTCGTTGTGCAGAGTTGCGTCCCTTGGGCACGCCAGAAACCTATGATTGTGGGTTCGAATCCCGGTTCGCCCCGATTATGTTTCTAGGTTTGTCAGCACCATACCCGTGCTCGTAGGTTTCACCGAAGTGGTAAACGTCTGAGACCTGCATTACTTCGGGCTTTCCTCCCACATTAAGCTGACACGCCGTGATATAACTGGAAAACTGTTAAAAGCGGTGTTAAACCCAACTCACTCACTGAATAATGTGTCACGTAAATGTGTTGAAAACATTCCCGCCATTCGCAAAATATGTCAAAATTAATGTAACAGTCATGCTTTTAAATGTTTTTATCATAATTGCAAATCCTGTACCTGGGTAGTTGCTTTCTATTTAACTAAACTAATTGTGGCGTTCTTTCTCACACTGTAGGTGTGTTTTAATCTCATTATTTGAAGCCGGTAAACTTCTCGTCCTTCCACTGCGTATTTTCTTGATAAGTATCAAATCCGAATTTGAACGAAAAGGCATTTGGCATGTCGACATAAATATCGTACCCTTGTGTATTGCGTGTTGCTTTAGATGGAACTGTGCAGCATTCTGCTAGACTGGCAAGCTCTGTTGTCATGGAAGCATGTTACTTGATCAATTGTTTCATGGCGTCATAGCTGTCACGAGTGATGTATATATTTCTCAGGTGTGTCAATACGCCAAGATCTCAGTGCTGCGGTAAATGACCTACCCGTATAGATGTTTTTGTATTTACAAAATAAATAAACATTATCATAATGTGTTTTTAATGTGTTATATTTACTGAATCGAGGTTTCATCACTATTGACACTGCCGATATACCAATATCTAAAAACATAATGTTTATATCCAAAATATCTTACTTAAGCGTAAATTATTGTGGAAGATTGTTGCCAATGTGTCTTCGCGTCGGACAAGAGGACACGTACAGCATTAACAAATATTTTGAACGTAAATAAGATATGAATCCTTTTTACCATTTTGATTCTGCAATGTATAATGTAGGGTAATTCAACGCTTAGGACAAACAGAAGGCGATATGATGCACTTTGCCATATCCTCGCCGGCGCGCATCATCGATAGTACATTGCAGCTCTAAAAGGACGTGTTCACACTGCAATTTACAAGATATATTGGAATGATTAATAATAACCTCCTGGGCAAAAACAAGAATACACCCATGTCAATTTGATGGGGGCTAAACATGAAACAAACAAGAAATGGTTATTCGATGGTGATGTATTAACAATTAATTTGTTTTTAGCCGATATTACACGCATCATGTCGATGAGGGTCGCACAACAGACGACTGTCATCATCATAGTAACGCTTGCAATGGTTAGGTCAAATCCAATTTTCAAGTGTATACTTTCTTTTGCCCGGTAGTTTCCTAATTTGTCATTATATACAACATGTATGTTTCTTCTATGGGCTGCTCCTTTACATTGATATAACAGCACCCACAACAGAACGTCATGTCTATTTTTAGAAACATGCTAGTGGAATTTAATAATAAAACTGGTGTAACATGAAATAGTGTCTCGTTGTATTTTGTATAGTCAGTGTTTGCATGTGAGACACCTACATATGGATATTATTTCAACTAAATCCTTGTATCATCTTTCCTGCGATGTTGAATATGTTTTGTGAACACGTATATGAATACATTTCAAATACATCGTCAAACATTATGAGTTATCTTCTCTGTAATTAGCATATAATAAAATCTTTTTTTTTTATAATCAAAGGGAGTCAACACCGCATACGAATATTGGTAATATTTTATTTCAAAAGATAAATGTAAAAAGTGCGTTTAAAAATACAATAAATAAGTAAGCAACGTCAATTTAATCATATCGATCATTTTGTGCACATTGGTCCCTCGTCAGAATGAGAACAGATCGTAGACATCACTGACAGATTATAACAAAAAGGGAAATATGGATATCCCCAAAATAACGACAAATAAACAATAGATATAAACAAAACCATTCAAACACCAGTAGTAAACAATAAAAACATCAAACAAAAAACCCTTGAGTATATGATTGTTGTTTCTTGTTTGAAATATTATTCATTGGCACATTCAATGAGGAAAACGGGTAGGCGAAATTGACAAGTCTACATTCTCACGCATAGTGTGTACCATTGCCTGTACATGTATTATCGTGTCCACTCCAACCCACCAAGCGACTGACGTAACGTACATGTATATCGTACGGTAAGAAAATGCCGGTAATGATGAGCAAGTGAGGGTGTGAAATAATGAATGTATTGAACGAGTGACACCAGGGAGAGAGCCATAGACGCACAGCAAAAAAGTGTAGGCTTCCGTCTTCTGGAAACCTTCCGGATACCTTCCCATTTTGGATCCGGCCCGGATACCTTCCGGAAAACTTCCAAAAAAATGTCAAAATTCGGGGGGTGCATTTTGTTTATTTAAGTGTGAAACACATAAAAAATATCTGGAAAATACCAAGAAATTTGATGGTTGCTGAAGGTATCTGGAAGATTTCCGGAAGGTTTCCAGAAGGTATCCGGGCCGGATCCAAAATGGGAAGCTATCCGGAAGGTTTCCGGAAGACGGAAACCTACACTTTTTTTTGCTGTGACGTTTACACAAACATGGGAGTTCGATAATATGGTTTATGAATAAAGGTACGCCGTTCATGCGCATATGCCCGATGTGCAGATTCAATTCGTAAACACAAAGTCTATGGATCATCTTAGAATCAATAAACGTGTCTGCATTGTGGGAGTGCGCCACTCTGACATTCAGCTTGCTCGGTATTCGCCAGGAAGACATTGAACACAGCACATGGGATACCAACGTTTCTGGAAAGTACAGTTTTGAACATAAGAGCATGAAGACATTTGGGTAATTTCATATAGACATGCATCGTAAATCTTGGAGATTGCACAATCATAATAACAAACAGATCCTCAGACTACGTGACTATGCTTTCATAATGTGGGAAGTATAGGAAGTTGTAATGGGATGATTGGTGTACATTTGTTAGAATGCCTCCTACTGGTCCATGCCAGGAGCAGGCCGTGGACATATGTAGTCTTTGTGTGTCGAATAGCACCAACTCAAATATTCATTTTATGTTATACTCATTAATGCAGGATATAGTACTGTTGAATTGGAGATCTTACACGGTACATCACACGAGTGACACGGATCTTCTAAGATCAACGTTTGCTACCTGATACCTACAGTACCCTGACCATAATTTTCGAAGACGAGGTGTGATAATTATAGTTTACAGGAACACCACGCTTGATGGAACGTAGGTAGCATTGGCGATGTATGTGTTCGCGATAGGAAAGTGTACAGCCATATGATCTCATAACGAATGGTCATGTATAGCTTGGTAGGTTTGTGATGTATACCAACGGCAAGATAGAATAATAAGCAACATATGCTCTGCATCTGTACTGCTAATGAAACACATTATGTGTGTTGATGCACATCAAACACAACATATGCCCTGCATCTGTATTGCATGTGAAACACATGAGGCGTGTTGCTGCATAGCATATACACCATATACAAAGCATCTGTATTGCATCATGTGTGTTGATGCACATCAAACACAACATATGCCCTGCATCTGTATTGCATGTGAAACACATGAGGCGTGTTGCTGCATAGCATATACACCATATACAAAGCATCTGTATTGCATCATGTGTGTTGATGCACATCAAACACAACATATGCCCTGCATCTGTACTGCATGTGAAACACATGAGGCGTGTTGCTGCATAGCATATACAAAGCATCTGTATTGCATCATATGTGTTGATGCACGTCAAACACAATGTACACATGCAATACATGTGATAAACATCAATATTGATTATGTTTATCAGATACCATATATGTGATAAAAATCAATATTGCTGATTTGTATCAGACACAACATACGTGATATATATCACAGCTGTATATCAAGACATCACTGTTACGTGTTTATTTCGGACATGACCACAATAGCTTAAGCTTTAACATTAACTTTGGTAATAGAATATGGAAAACATCAAGGGAATTAAAACAATGTCTCTTTCCGTAAAATAATACCAAAACCCTCGGTGTCACGCACACTTATGATGGTATGAAAACAAATATCATACAATAGTTCTGAAAATACAAAATCAGAAACCACAACCAAACGATATGACAACCACCCCATTGATGACCACAAGAGTGTTTCTTTCCTATTAAGTATCCTGCTACTCCACCAGTTCAACCATCGCTATGTGTATTCATGGTATATTAGCAGTCTAACACTGATGTAAATGTTATATTTCCATATCTAGAAACAAACAGTTTCAACGATTGTTCAGATTGTAAAGATCATCGGAAGGTGTAAAAGTACGTAATTTAAGCAATGGCACACTTGTCATACATCACATACGATTTACGATATCACGCAACTACAGAATACACGTTAATCAACGAAATGTGTAAGATTCAAATATAAATCCAGCTTTCGGAACAATAAATGTAGTATCGGTAGAACTGTGCATATAAAAATGCAATACATATTACGTGAATGTACAAAATGTTCATTGTCAGCATTATCTCGTTAACCTCATGTCGGTTATGAGAAGCGTATGCACCTGAATCGCCTGAATCCAGCTCAGCCAGCACTGGTAGGAAGCCATAGTTTCGTTCACGTGACTATCACATTACACCACACAATCTGGCGGCAATGGTAACAAGATGTCAATTTTGCAAAGTGTATTCTGTATAAACAGAAATGATGTATACATATTGTAGATGAAGGGTTATCTACAAAATGTATACATAATTTCCTGTTAAGCATACAATAGGAAATTTTCAAAATTGGTCAACAATGTATACGAACTTTATGAGGCGGGATCTGGCGGAAAACGGATTACAGTGAATACATCACTACTCCACAGCTACCAAGGTATTAAGTAGGTAGCGGTATACGCCGAGATGATCCGAATAGCTGCAGCTGCACCAATCAGCGTTAAGCACATTCCGAAGACAAGCATTCAGAGTCAGATTAAGATCACCTTGGGTCTGGTAAGTTCTTAGCAGGAAAAAGAGATTCGTAGGTGGGCGGTGCTGATCCTTCCGAGGTGGGAGGGGGGATTCCAGCTGGGGAAAGAGACCCGTATGGAGGAGGAGGGTTATCAGACGAAAACGTCATAGTGGTGTGTCTTCCCGCTGTTCCAATCGGTTGACACATGACGTCCGAAGCCATATTACTCCGGTATGTGCTTTGTGAACCAGGAGCGTAAGGATACAAAGGGGAAGTGACGTCACTACGACCGTTGCTAGGGTACGACATGACAGAGGGACTGCCTGTTGTACTTGAGGCTGTACGACGCGCTGTTCTTGAGGTATTGCGATTAGTCCTCGGCGTCACATCGTCTTTTTCTGGGCATTTGTTATATCCACAGAATATGAACACAATGAATACTAGAAATACGATTCCAATGACAAATGCAACGATGATATTATTTGGAATGCTGTCACTTATATTCTTTCGATAGTTTGCATCTGAAATGAAAATATTTCATGATTATTCTCTGGTATAATTTATTTGATTGACATTATCTGTTTTACCATCAGTTGCTGATATAATCATTGCTGGCTTTATATTTGTGTAATAGATTCAACTATAAACAGCATGAAGAAATATCAATGAGTGAGAGAGTGAGTGATAGCATATAACATAAATGTAAGTCATATGATTTACCATGTAAGGAATCGAACCAGGAAATTAGGCGAGACAAAACAAATGAACTATTTCGTCAAACAACCTTTGGTCACCCCTTTAAACGTATTTAACACGTATAGTTTATCCATTATTATCACAAGCTTCTGACACCCGAAATTGGATTGACATAAAAGTAACCGCACAATAGCTTTGAGTAAGGGAGTACATGGGTTTGATCAAGGCTACAACATTCAACTCCGTAAGCTTTCAACAGGTTTTTATGTAGACAAATATTACGCATCAGTAACAAGAATTATGTCCGGTACACATCCGTATTTTGACTTGTACCATGTGTTCCTGTGGGGTTTTTTTTAGGTGAACAATAGCCTTGCCTTTTCCTGTGTTAATGACGGGTAACACCGATAGGGCAGGATACGCTCACCTTTTCGCGAAGACCTGGTATCATCACTGTTTGATAACGATTCATAAATTCATAATCGCGATAAAGTCGGAATCGTACAATGGACTCTGTTTTGGCAAATGTTTCTTACGGATACGGAAAGAGTTTTGTCACTTTTATTTTCGCCGCTTCGAACACATTTTTGTAATCATAAAAGACCGAAGTTATGCAGGTTTGAAAATTTGATGAAACCCACGAGCATGGATATGGTGCTAGCATACCAAGGATCTTAATCAGAGCGACTCCCCTATATGAACGTATGATTCTGGCACCGCAAAGGGGAGCAACGACGCACAGCTAATTCCGTCGCCTTTAAGACTGGGCTACCATGTCCCAATACAGCTGAAAATAGTAGCTCACTCATTGTACTGATATACATGTTTACCCGGTATTTCCTCTTTGCACGAACAACCTTGGCCGCAGTGTTCCGGGGAACAGCTGGTCTTGCAGTACCCCGTCCTCCAGTTGCATCCCCCAGTGTTGCAGTGACCACACTCATACTCACAGGAGTGGTTGTACCACTGTTCCAAGCACCACTGACACACCCCTTTCCTACACTCTACACATCTGCCCGTACAATCTGTCAACAAACAAACTTGATGTCACAAAAACTAACGACATAACCTGTCCTACATTTACAAATCTGCCTGTTTAAACTGTCAACAAACAAACTTGATGTCACAAACACTAACGACACAACCTGTCCTACATTTACAATCTGCCTGTGTAATCTGTTAACCATCAAACTTGATGTCACAAACACCAACGACACAACCTATCCTACATTTACAATCTGCCTGTGTAATCTGTTAACCATCAAACTTGATGTCACAAACACTAACTACACAACCTGTCCTACATTTACAATCTGCCTGTGTAATCTGTTAACCATCAAACTTGATGTCACAAACACCAACGACACAACCTATCCTACATTTACAATCTGCCCGTGTAATCTGTTAACCATCAAACTTGATGTCACAAACACCAACGACACAACCTATCCTACATTTACAATCTGCCTGTGTAATCTGTTAACCATCAAACTTGATGTCACAAACACCAACGACACAACCTATCCTACATTTACAATCTGCCTGAATAATCTGTTAACCATCAAACTTGTTGTAACAAACACCAACGACACAACCTATCCTACATTTACAATCTGCCTGAATAATCTGTTAACCATCAAACTTGTTGTAACAAACACCAACGACACAACCTATCCTACATTTACAATCTGCCTGAATAATCTGTTAACCATCAAACTTGTTGTAACAAACACCAACGACTTACTCCTTTCCTACATCTGAACCAGATGAGGTGAAATGGGTTTACGTTGCCTCCAATATCAATGCACTAATAAAGCCACCTGCATGCACGTGTGCGTGTGTGGCAGTCCGGACTGATACCGAGTTGATACTGCTAGCCGACTGAGATACCATGACGCAGTTTAACATGCACTCAGACACAGTATACTGACTCCGAGCTGACCGGTCCTTAATGCCGAGCGCCAGACAGGGTGACAACAAGTACCATCTTTTAACGTCTTTTGGTATGACGCGACCGAGGGTCGAACCTCGGACCTTCCGCTCTCTTGGCGGACGCTCTTCCACTGGACCATGGAGGCGGTTAATCTGAACAAACAAGCTTGAGGTAACAGACGCAGACAATCAATACGGGTTACACACATGATAATAATTTGATAAGTGTAATCATTAACAGACGTAGTAGTGGTAGTGGTGGTAATAGTATAGGACGTATGGGGAGTTGTGGTAGTTGAAGTCGTTTTTGTTATACACGTAGTGGAGGTGTTAGCGGTAGAAATAGAAGTGGTGGTCGTGGTGGTATTACTGTGATGTTAATCATATTATTTGTGGTTATGTTAGCATGGTAGCATTTATAGAAGGTGCAGTGGTAGTCGTATTGTTATGGTATTGGCTTGTAGGTGTGGAGGTGGGGTGGTGATTGTGGCGGTCGTAGTAGGAATAGAAGACGTAGTTAGGGTGGTTGGGGTAGTAGAAGTCGTTTTTGTTATATGGGATGTTTTTGTTGTTGATTGTATTATGGTAGTAGTGAAGATTGTAGAGGTAAAAAGGAGTGGTTATTTGTGACTGTGGTAGCAATTATAGTTCATGTGGTGGTAGTGCTATTGTTATAGTATGGACTAGTAGTTGCGGTGGTGATGTTAGTGGTAGTAATCATGGTGGTTGTAGAAGAAGTGGTGGTAGTAGTTGTAGTCGTCATAGTGGTAGTAGTGTTGGTGTTAGTGGTAGTAGTAGTAGTAGCAGTAGTAGTAGTAGCAGTAGTAGTAGTAGTAGTAGTAGTAGCAGTAATAGTAGTAGTAGTTGCAGTGTTGGTGTTAGTAGTTGTAGTAGTCATGGTGGTAGTAGTGTTGGTGAGAGCGGGAGTAGTAGTAGTAGTAGTAATAATAATAGTAGTAGTAGCAGTAGCAGTAGTAGTAGTAGTAGTAATAGTAGTAGCAGTAGTAGCAGTAGTAGTAGTAGTAGTAGTAGTAGTAGCAGTAGTAGTAGTAGTAGTAGTTGCAGTGTTGGTGTTAGTAGTTGTAGTAGTCATGGTGATAGTAGTGTTGGTGAGAGCGGGAGTAGTAGTAGTAGTAGTAGTAGTAGTAGTAGTAGTAGTAGTAGTAGTAGTAGTATGTCCTTAATGTAGCAGTAGATGATGGCACAATTAAAGTGGGATACAACCGGATCCATCAAGGTAAACATCTCGATTTGAACACAAACTAGTGAACTATAATTAACACAACCCTGAAATCTTTGAACTATGGGATATACGTGATAGTTATTTCCTAATACTACTTACAGTCTACACTGCAAAGAACATGAACGTTAAAAATACTAAAATATACATAATCTAAAGGGGTCGTAAATACAAATACCTCACTGAATTATCGATGAGTTAATGCCACAGCATTTATGCAACAGAATAGCTGAATGAATGAAACACTTGCCTTTCACCGATGTTCCTGTATTCAGAAACACCAGCAGAATGATCGTCCCATAATGCATACACATTCTCCACGAGAATACGGGTGTTCCCTCATGTCCATGCGCTATTCCACTAGGCCACCTTTCTGTGTCTGAAACAGACCGATGGTTGTCAGATACCGCCCTGTTAAAGTAGGACCTCTTACATGAGGAAATTATACATTCAAATCGCTCGCTTCAGGCAATTCTCCAAGCCTCTAGCCTCAATAATGTAATGGTATTTCTACGTTGGAAATAAGGTCAATTCATTACGGTCCAGTATGACCTCCCACTCTCAGAGAACTCAATTCACACATAAACAGTAGATGTAACAGGTTTGTGTATGTAATGGTTGTAGTATTGCTCATTAATTTGTCATTCTCGTCCTGAGCAGGTGTGACGGCCTTCAAAGATTTATTCCGAAAAGCATGTTGCGAAATATTTTATGTAACTCTCGCTCAGATCGAATTGAGCCCATCAATTTTCCTCACAGCGACAGCCTATAGAATTGAGTGTCCATGACCTACATGCCTATTGTGGTAGATGTTTGCTTCAACAAACCAGCCTCGGCTTCAGCGAATATGGACATGGAGAGTCGACTGTAAATTCAGAGCTTCGGCCTTAGTATTCTCCACAAATATTTTTCTGAATTAAAATATTTCGCTGTGGCGTTCAGCGGGTGCTACTAACCTTCCAATATTTCTGCGCCGAAGCGCCCTCGTCATCCCTGCTTCTCCTTAACTCCTGAATTCCACAAATCGATTGAAATGGGCGCAGTTCGTTTTGTACACGAGACGATTCACTGTTCTTATCGATTATACGACCGTTTGCTATTGAGATCTCATGAGTAGTATTTATGTATGATTAATCATTATTATGTTCTATTTCAGAAAATGGGTAAACTATAGGAATCCTTTCACAAAGCCTGGTGGTAAATGCTGGTGCAAGTGCGTTGTTCGGGTTGGGAGATAGCCTTATCATTGAGATAACTTGGTGACACAGCTGTGGCTATGTTCCTAGGTAAATGTGTAGTTTGATGCATGCGTATTTGAATGCAAGGAATCAAGGACTCACCTCACTCACGGGTTGGGAGATAGCCTTATCATTGAGATAACTTGGTGACAAAGCTGTGGCTGTGTTCCTGGGTAAACGTGTAGTTTGATGCATGCGTATTTGAATCCAAGGAATCAAGGACTCACCTCACTCACGGGTTAGGGGATAGCCTTATCATTGAGATAACTTGGTGAGAAAGCTGTGGCTATATTCCTAGGTAAACGTGTAGTTTGATGCATGCGTATTTGAATGCAAGGAATCAAGGACTCACCACACTCACGGGTTAGGGGATAGCCTTATCTTTGAGATAACTTGGTGACAAAGCTATGGCTATGTTCCTAGGTAAATGTGTAGTTTGATGCATGCGTATTTGAATCCAAGGAATCAAGGACTCATCTCACTCACGGGTTAGGGGATAGCCTTATCATTGAGATAACTTGGTGAGAAAGCTGTGGCTGTGTTCATGGGTAAACGTGTAGTTTGATGCATGCGTATTTGAATCCAAGGAATCAAGGACTCACCACACTCACGGGTTAGGGGATATCCTTATCATTGAGATAACTTGGTGAGAAAGCTGTGGCTATATTCCTGGGTAAACGTGTAGTTTGATGCATGCGTATTTGAATCCAAGGAATCAAGGACTCACCACACTCACGGGTTAGGGGATAGCCTTATCATTGAGATAACTTGGTGACAAAGCTGTGGCTATATTCCTAGGTAAACGTGTAGTTTGATGCATGCGAATTTGAATCCAAGGAATCAAGGACTCACCACACTGACGGGTTAGGGGATAGCCTTATCATTGAGATAACTTGGTGACAAAGCTGTGGCTGTGTTCCTGGGTAAACGTGTAGTTTGATGCATGCGTATTTGAATCCAAGGAATCAAGGACTCACCACACTCACGGGTTAGGGGATAGCCTTATCATTGAGATAACTTGGTGAGAAAGCTGTGGCTATATTCCTGGGTAAACGTGTAGTTTGATGCATGCGTATTTGAATCCAAGGAATCAAGGACTCCCCACACTCACGGGTTAGGGGATAGCCTTATCATTGAGATAACTTGGTGACAAAGCTGTGGCTGTGTTCCTGGGTAAACGTGTAGTTTGATGCATGCGTATTTGAATGCAAGGAATCAAGGACTCACCACACTCACGGGTTAGGGGATAGCCTTATCATTGAGATAACTTGGTGACAAAGCTGTGGCTATGTTCCTAGGTAAATGTGGAGCCAATGAGTTTGATGCGAAAGTATTTGAATCCAAGGAACCAAGGACTCACCGCACTCACTAAATGATAGTGTGGATGGTCAAGAATGTGTTTACTTGAAAAATAGTGCTTGGTCGGGAGGACGATGTACTTTTGTACTTTTGCTTGATTTGTATCATTAATCTTAAAAGTCTTATCAATTCAGAAATAATAAGGAACTATAATTATATGCCCCGAATACGTTTAACTGTCAATGAAGCAGGAAAATGGTCATTGTTGGCTAGCTCGAAATGCCAAATTATAAAGTTACAGAAATCTTTGTAACTATGGTTTGTAAATTATCAGACATTATCAAACGGTTGACCACAAAAAGTTTCAGTTCTTATAATTGAACGTGTATTTACATCTGGATTACTTAAGAATAGCTTAAGTGAGTAAAAAACGACTTTCCCACCTTCAAGACACAATCTAACTATGAGCAGGTCCGTGACCCATGATTATTTTTTAACCATATTTTTTATACCTGTCTCCACACCTAAGAACATATGCGTGAGTCAAAAACCTACTCATGTTCAAATATTTTAAATGCTTCCTGAAAATCTTTTATATCCGACTTTTCACAATTGTTTAGCTTAATATGTACATTTAGTGTTGTTTTAAGTCCAAAACACGCATATATTGAAATTAACAAGGTTAGCTTAATGATAAATTTAATTTACTTGAAGTATTTCTCATTTCTTAAATTACAGTGAGTGAGTGACGTTTTACGCCGCTTTTAGCACTATTCCAGCAATATCACGGCGGGGTACACCAAAAATGGGCTTCACACATTGTACCCATGTCGGGAATCGAACCCGGTCTTCGGCGTGACGAGCGAACGCTTTAACCACTAGGCTACCCGACCGCCTCGCAGATCCTGAAGGCATAAAAGGTCCTTATCAAAACCCATCCTTTCAAGAATAGCATTATTAATACCCAAACTGTAATTATGTATTCAGTTTAGAAGCTGAAATTTCGGTAGATACACGATTAGCCTAGGATTTGAAATAAAATTAGTTGAAGATAGCATCTAATTTGATGTGAATTCCTAAAGGCTCAGTAAAATTTTATTCTATTGAATTAAAATTCAAAATTCAAAATTGAAATTGGATCAAGAAATGATTCTGTTGTGTTATGTTATTGTACCTCAACGTACATTATACGGAATATATCCTCTGTCCGAACACCCTGTCGCCATTGCATGTATCATCCTGCGAGGGATATGAACCCTGTTATACCTCATCGCGTTCTTTGTTATGGTACCTGTGAGAACATGAGCCTGTTCGACTCCCAAATGCAGTACTGAATGTGTGTGGCTTTATGCCGCTTTTAACAATCTACAAGTGATATTAAACCAAACATATTTCCCACATTGTACCCATATATGGACTCGAACTCGGGCCTTCGGCAAACACTGCTAAATCTTGTACCACTGTGCTCCCGAACAGGCCCAACCGCCCGTACCTTGAAGGTATACACAAATCTAAATTACGAATCATGGTTATCTCACAAGGGACATATGTTCACATTTTTACTATAAAGGCGAAATTGGAAACGCCTCTCTCGTCTGAATAAAGCTCTTCAAGATGGATATTGGACAGATTCATGTCCGTAAATGAATCCACAAACATTTATGGTCGAGATACTGTCTGAACGCAGACACAATATGATAGGATATCAGCGTGCTGTGTAGGTGTTTTCGAGAACAAATTCATTTGTAGAATATTTTTACCTTTAATCGACTCCGAGGAAATTTACTTTGTACATGCGAATGTGACATGACATGATCCTATTAGGAAAAACTAACGATGAACAGTGACAGCGAAGCATCACAAAGGACCAGTCGCAGGCAATCTTAGCATGACTTTTTGCTGGACTCTAAAGCCTGAGGGGCGGCCGGGTAGCCTAGAGGTTAAAGCGTTCGCTCGTCACGCTGAAGACCCGGGTTCGATTCCCGACATGGGTACAATGTGTGAAACCATACTCACTCACTTAAGCCTGAAGACATGCCCATTCCAAAATTCCTTTAACATCAGTACAAAGGCAGATATATCACTGGGTCCAGCAACTGTACCACCAAAAACCTGTCCCAAATAAAGAGTAACCACAATACTTACTACAATCAAGGAAGGGCTTCTTTATACTCACAGAAAAATATTGGAAACAAGTGGAATACCATGTGAACTCTCTGAAACTCAAAGGATTTGATTTATATTTACAATCTCAGAAAAGAACCAAGTTCAATTCCGTCAAAAACTTCACTCCTTGATTCATGGGGTTCTTGTTACAAAAGCTCGCGGTGATAATAGATACAGTTACATATCTATCTTCAGAGGTTCAGGGCAATTTGCAAAATATGAAAGTAAATTCCATCTAAAGTTCACTGAGAAAACATTATGTGAAAATTTCGGGGTAAGACATTTAGGCCAGAAGAAGGCATGCCCATTGGCACCGATTGCGCTCCCCTTCTGGCTGATCTGTTTCTTAATGTATATGAATCTGAATTTCTGATCGGAGTGACAAAGTCAAAACAAGGTAGTTTGGCAAGTTTAACTTTAGCCTAAGGAATATCGATATCGATGATCTGATATCGTTCATTAACCATCAAATAGCCAATTCCATTCCACTTATTTACCCACCTGAACTAGAAATGAAGGAGACTAGTTAGACCGCCTAGAAAAATTCTATCCGATGCAATTCTGTATTTTGACTAGTATCATATGTTCCCGTGTTTTTTCAGGTGAAAGTGTTTGTGACGGGTGTCGCCGGTGGGGCAGGATACGCTTACCTTTTCGCGGACACCTGATATTATCACTATTTCATAGTGATGAGTAAACACATGATCATGATATAGTCAAAATCGTACAATGGACAGTGTGTGTGTGTGTTAGTGTGCGTACGTGCGTGCGTGCGTGCGTGCGTGCGTGTGCGTGTGTTTGTGTGTGTGTGTGCGTGCGTGCGTGTGCGTGTGTTTGCGTGCGTGCGTGCGTGCGTGCGTGCGTGCGTGTGTGTGATGACAGTGGTTTCAGCTACCAGGCTCACAAGTTTTAAATGTATGACAGTTTGATTCACATAAGTATTTTCTGAGGTTTTACCTGCATTCTGCGAACACAACATAAATATCTTCAAATTTATTCAAATATCTTGGAATGTCACTTTTGGTAGTAATATTTCACTTTGTACCAACGATAATGATCAACAATTGAACGATCACCAATATAAACGATAACTATATTTCAAGAAGTGCGGGCGCATTGAGGAGTCAAACAACGTTTGACCTTTGTCTTTCCCTTCTTACAAATGTAGTATTCAGCTGATTTGAATCATCGTTTTGTTGGTAAAAACTGAAATAGTAGAAGTGTCAAGAATGAACGTTTGTATATATCGTGTCATTATAATTTGAAAAGATGAATATTTTGCTGAATTTCTGCCATATAACAGCGGGAGAATACCAAGGTGCTTGCACAATGCACGGAGATATGGCGAAGAGACGAGTCAATGCTCCGGCCAAATCGATCGATACTAAC